TGTAAAATGTCTTTAAATCAGTTAACATCTGGAGAGAATCAGAAGCAAATACAAGAGAAAACATCAAACGAAGTAGAACTTGTGAAGTAACTTCTACAAATTTAATTATTACAATACTACAGTGTACGTCCTGATCCCTGGCCATTTTCTAGTGGTACATGTGGAGCTTCTATCCATAGCTCTTCACGTACATAGTAAAAATAGTGTAGAGAGTGAACAGTTTACCTTCTTCATCTGTGGTAACATTCAGAATATGGCTGCTGTAGCTTTTGCCAATTTTGTTTGTCGCAAATACTCTAATACTATATGTTGTCCAAGGAAGAAGACCTGTGAGAGAGGCAGTCTTGGAGAGACTGGAAACCACACAGGCACTGCTTGAGAGTGATCCTTGACAATCCACATCTTTAAAGATCTGACTATCTTCACTGATTTCAACCGTGTAGTTCTTAATGTCACTATTTCCATCAAAACCAAAATTCCAAAAGATATTTACAACTCGTGAACCCTTTGAACCAACAGTGATATTCTGGGGTGGGTTGGGACCAACTGAAGAATTAAACAACATTTCAATAAACATTAAAATGTACAATTGCGTTTGACGATCATTGCACACCACATCGTTCAGAAAAACATACCTTGAATAATTACTGACGTTATATCTGAGGAATTGCCAACAGCGTTTGTCACAAAGCAGCCATAATTTGCCTCATCCTCCTTGGTACTTGATGAAATTAACAGCTGCGATTGACTTTCAGTGAATTGTGTAATATTCACTCGTCCATTATTGATCTCGCTATAATTTCGAGCTATCACAATGCCATCTTTTAACCATTGTACTTCCAACACCGGTGGGGAAGCATTATACCGGCAAGTCAGCTGGATGTGTTTGCTTATTTCAACAAATTTTGGTTCACTGCCACCAATTTTGACATCTGCTCTATCTGCAATCATGAAAATGTTCAAGTTAGTCACCAGAAATGAGAACAGTATTTGAAAAATTTATACACATTACATGTCCTCGCAGATGTTTTGGCATGTAGCGTTGCGTACAAGGCTTGTCAACGTAACAAAAAATACTCATCGACACTTCAACCAACACATCTATGGCTACAACAGGTTCTTCATGATCCATTACCTTTTTTTCATATGCATTTCTTTTAACGCAAGAAAAGCGAAGCTTACAGAGATAAGGGTTTTGTGAAGGGTCTCGCATAACACATGCAATTGCGTCAAAATGGTTTATGAGACATTAACTTGACACCAAGGGTTTCAAAACAATTCTAGGTCTGATTTANCTAATCATTCTAAGCAACATATGGCAATCTGCGGTCTTTCCTTGCACTTAGGTGGCACGGAAAGCCGTAAAAATCTTGAACAAAAGCTCATCTTTCAAACCGGCAGTCTAAATCCCACAGGGATCAATGAACGCTTTTCATTCCACTAATTTATTCATGTTTTTCTCGTTGCCATGCACCCACCAATAACGTAGCTCCATTTTCTGCCTTTAAAAGCACACACAACCCACAATTCCTCTATTCGCTCCGACGAAGGGCTAACGCTCGAAACGTCAGCTTTTGTAATCATTACGGTGGCCAATTTACCATTTCAACTTTGTTGATATATCCAAATTATTTCGTTACTCCCACCGACGCAGCCCCAAACAGTTTCTTTCGAAACTATCAGCCTTTATTCATTTGTATTTCTATCGAAGTTGCCGTGGGTGCTAGTTCACGAATAATATGGTCGACAGTCCATTATCAATCGCATGGCATTGCACTTCGAGCATCGATCGTCGAAAAGCTGTGTTGCGCGTCCGGTGTAGCTCTCCTTCCTGTGCCTGAGTTCTTTCCTCCTCTTCTTTCTGATTGAAGCAACTTCACTTTTGACACGAAAAGCTCCATATTCAAGCGTGTTAACCTTAACCCGCTCGACGTAACTCCTTCAGTGCAAATGTATCCGCTCTTTGCTTTCTTGAAAGCATCAGCGCCGACAGGCAAAACGGTATCAAATGGTTTGCTCCAGTTACGCTGTGCGATTGGGTAACAGCCTTCACAGGCGTGAAGTGGGAACGCGTTTATGTAGTCAAACGCCGACGCCCCGGAAAACCTGAAGTCGCTTTTTCTCGCAAAGTGTTTTCGCTTGAGCTCTGAACTTCAAAGAGATTATTCTCGGCCGATATTTGGTCAATTTTCATGAGACTTGGAAATATTGTCACAATTATGATGAACCCCAAAAGTGTGTCTGGGAATTTTGATTTTCGCATTACTTTTTGAGAATAACCTCTACATTGAATATTCTGTTCAAAAGCGCTACTTTAAAGTTAAATAATTATGAAATAGTGATTGTGCGTTAAAAAATAACACCCAGACAATTTTTAAGTTCAATATGTACAAATCACGTTCCAATAAGAGACAGAAGTTGTTGACTAAAAGCGTCGTCAAATCAACTTATCTTTCAGAACGACTCTGGGTGAAAGAATAAGCTCCCATTCTGTTCAAAGGCAAAATTTCAAAGGAAAAAGAATAAATTGAAATATCTGAAATCAGTGTTTATAAAGCTTTACGAAAATGTATGCTTTTATAGGAATAGGGCAAACAGTTTTCACGCTATTTCAGCTTGAATGAAAACGCTCATTTTCCTTCCGTGATACCTTAAGGTGTCGAAGTGAAAACGGTTCATTTTACTTTAAATCGCTTTTTAAAATAAGAGACGGGCTAGACATTGAAAATGCAGCATCCTTCCTTGTTAGGAAATACGTCGACAATAATTGCACAAAGAAGCATCGAGGTTTGTTTAGAGAAAGTTGTTAAATAATACTGAGAATGAAAAACACAATGTATTTTTTTGGTTGACAGATTGTTGGTCGTAAGAAAAACGATCCAGTCGTTCACTGCTTTCTCCCATGATTCTTAAAACTGGAAAGTAAAGCTTTGTCGGCAACGTGACAAT